TCATAGCAACCCTTCCTTTGGTTTCCCAGGTGGTATCGCTACAGAAGTGGATTGTTCATTCTTCCTTCCAAGACATGGCTGGTGGGTTTGAACCACTAGCCTTCTGGTAGCATTCAGATGCCTTAGACACTGTGCCAATATCATTGTCAGCTTAAATGCTTGGTGCCCACTCTATTCTGCATAACTCTAAGGAAAGCTTTTTTCACCTCTTTATTCCTTAGACTATAAATGAGTGGGTTCAGCATGGGGATCACAATAGTATAAAAAACAGAGGCCACTTGGTCTTTTCCCAGAGAGTAGGACTTACTTGGCTTTAAATAAGTAAAACTGATGCTACCAAAGAAGATGGAGACTCCCAGGAGGTGGGAGGCACAGGTAGAGAAGGCTTTTTGCTTTCCTGATGAAGAAGTGATTTTCAGGATTGTAGAGAGAATGGACCCATAGGACACAGAAATCGTGCTAACAGACACCACTACATTGCAGCCGGCAAGAATGGATAGCATTGTCTCAATATCATGTGTGTCAGTGCAGGACAGGACTAACACTGGAGTTGTGTCACAAAAAAAGTGATGGATTACATTGGAGTCACAAAAATTCAAGTTGTTCATGGAGAGCACAATGAGAATGGAGTCAAAAAGGGCAACTACGTAGGATGCCATGATGAGGAAGTGGCAGAGAGTCCTGGACATAAAAACTGGGTATTGCAGAGGGTTGCAGATAGCTACATAGCGATCATAGGCCATTGAAGAGAGAAGGAAAGTTTCAGCGACAAGGAAGAAAATAAAGAAAAACATCTGAGTGAAACAACCCCCAAATGAAATACACTTGTTGGAAGTCAATAAGTTTTCTAAGGTTTTAGGGGTAATTACGGTTGAGTAACTCAGATCAAGGAATGAGAGGTGACTGAGGAAAAAATACATGGGGGTGTGAAGCTGGAGATCCAGTTGAATTACTAGCATCATCCCTGCATTCCCCAGCACAGTGATCAGATAAATCAGGAGAAATAGACTAAAGAGGACCAGCCGGATTACTTCAGAGTCTGTCAGTCCCATGAGGAAGAAGTCTGATACATTTGTGTTGTTCTTTCTACCCATACTGTGCATCTTCTCTAAACTGTAGGAGAGTAAATTTGAAATTCAGCATCAGTGACTTCAAGCAGTTGTTTGTCTACATGAATGGCTTGCCACAAAAAAGAAAAAAAGAAAAAAAGTTTGAGTTTCTAGAAATTCATAATATAAAATGGTTTATAAAATATAAAAGAATGTTAATTTCAGTTCAATATGTAAATATGGGTATAACTTGACTTTGGAATAATATATAATAAAAATGTAGCATATATTAAAATATTGGAATAGAACTTTCATTATTCTCCATGCTTTCCCTTTTAA